GAAGAGGTGCGACACAATGAGATTTTGGCATAATTTATAATAAATACATCAAATCCACTTCACAGATTTAGCCTTGCCATTGTCGTTTTGGAAGTACATCCAGGTTTCCCACAGTCATGGAAATCCTGGAAAAGTCATGTCAATTGAAAATGGTTTATCCACAGTGTGTTTTTCATAAACTGTACAAATAAACTTACTTTGAACATGAGTAAGGTAACATATATAGCAGAATCTTGTTTTCTTGCAAGTGGTGGGCGGTTTTGTCCCAGATGCTTTTACAGCTTTAAAACAATGGACTATGTAACTTTTCTGAAGGGAAATCTGCCACCTTTGTATTTGTTTTTGCTTTCCCTGAAATGTTTCATAGTATGGAATTAAACAAATCTGTCTATCCATGTGGCCTAACTACAGGGCTCCCATGATCATGGAAATTTTGGAAAAGTCATTGGAAATTGAAAATGTCATTTCCTGGACCTGGAAAAGTCATGGAATTTTCTGAATTGAATCAAACTTTTGGAAAAGTTATGGAATCTTAGTATCTCTTTCATGTAACGACAGCGTTCTGTTAAGTTCTCATTAGGCTGATGTGATTATTTCCAAACGTATATTCTTTTGTTTAAAAGAGACGACAATAAATGCACTGACAGTATTTTGAATGTTAAAAAAACTATAATCCCAAAACATAAGGTGAATGGAAAGAGTTAACATTTCATATTTAGCCCGAAAAGTATGATCAATTCTGCACATGTAGGTGCCGTGAAGTCATGGAAAATTCACTTTAGGTCATGAAAAAGTCATGGAAAGGTTTTGAAATTTTGTCAGTGAAAAGGAGTGGGAACCCTGTACATCTTCTCAGAAGGTGTAACTAACTATCCCTTAACCATTTTTATGTCTTATCCAGACACATAGAAAACAAATCTCACAAGATCCTTTTATTTCACGAGATCTTGTAGCATGATATATACTGTCTCATCCCTGCAAGATCGGTATGTTTAATGCAACACTATGGAACAGTTACATCGTGTATCTTTAACTTGTTAACAATTTTACCACCTTCAATAAATGTGCTGCATGCACCTCCAAAACCCCAGTGAAGCGGCAAAGGACTGATAGGCATGAGTGATTTAGCTGCTATGTAGCCAGACCATCTGCACATTAGTTAGAATACATCATGTTTTTCCTATTTTATGACTTTATTCATTTTATTTAAACTGTCAATATCAGTAAATGTTATGCAGACTTTATAATTACATTTATTTTCTACCAGCATGTCCAGGGAGGATGATGTCCAGATGTCCAGATATTGCAGAGTTAAAGCAAAATCTATGCAATCTATACTATTTAAAATAAAACCCATGCCAGACAGGGCTCACTAGTGTTTAATCTGATTAGTTTTAAGATAAATTATTGTCTGTTATTTCACTTAACTCCAAAAGCAGACTCAATTCGGTCATTCATTACCTTCACATGGGTAATGGAGCTCTGTAGGTTTCTGCTCAAACTGTAGCAATTACACAATCCTGAAAGTTACAAGGCCCAGAAATAGTTCAAGATTAAATGCTGCATGAATGAATAACCACACATTAATATATTATTCATAAAGCACTGTCTATAAGTAATTATGTATAGAGATTATAGAATGTTATTATTATCACAGCACAACTTTACCCACACTGTGCAATGGTACAGAACCATTTCAAAAACTTCTGCAGAAACACTTATAGTCGGTCAAATATTTGTTGTTGCCAAAAGTATAATGTGACTCAAACTCTACTTGATTGTCACTTATTTTTGTGTATTTTGTGTCCAAACATTGACCTCCTCAAAAATAACACTGCATGACTTCCCTTTTAGACTGTCTTCAGGTTGTACAGCGGTTCGCCCACTAATCAAGAGTTAGTCATCGGTGTTGTGGGCTCCGTTCAAACTAATCAGCTCCTTTGTTTCTTTCACCTTCACAACTGTAAACACAGGATCTCCAGCCTGAGGGAGAAAATTAAAAGTGAAATTAAAATCACCAAGAGCTTCTAAACAAAAGTGTTGAAACAATGTCATAATTAAACACACATGGTGGCTGCAAGACAAACTTAGTTATACAAGACAAATTTAGTTATTTCAGAATTGTTTTATTTGGACAAAAGCACTCACTCTGGCTTCTGTTTTCAATTAACCTTTGTGCACTTATTCGTTTTTCAATAACCTGCACAAAAACATAGCATAAGCAAATTTAGCCTTTCATTTATCAGATGCTCTTCCTGGTGTAAACAATAACGCAGTCATGAGTTTCCTGATTATAGATGCCATTTTGAGGACTTTTCGCCATTCAAATATATATTGAATGGAGGTAACTGTGCTAGTTTTACGTCATTCAGAAACTCATGATACTGCTACACAGACACAGAAAATGGACACAACGGAAGTATGAGCTTAGTGTGAGATCTAAATATCTGACTTTGTGCTGAATTTGGCTCAAAAGAAACAAGTGAATTGGTCGTTTTTACTAATTGTTTTTATTTAATCGCCACTCAACTTAAATCCTAGCCCAGTTTCACTTCATAGAAACTGTCTGATCTCGCAGTGTTAGAGTTCGTTCGCTTGACGGTAGGCAGGTACTTTTTATCATTTAACCAATTGCTGCTATTTAGTAGTCACGTATGTAATGCGCCGCTAACGGGGTTAACTGGTATATTAAGCTTTACCCAAATCCCGTAGGAAGAAGGGCAATAACGTCTTTCCCCTTGATAAAATTCACCAAACATTCTCTTTATTCCGACTTTAAATCCTCGAATCTTGAGAATTGTTGACAACACTGAATATATGACTCTTCGCTGATTGACTGGTGCCCGAACTTGCACTCCCGCGGTTTTTGCAAACGTTCTAGTGTATATTGATTCCTGACCTAGTTGCTGGAGAGAAATGAAATTGAGTGGAGGCACTCAATTTCGGCCATATAATCCGACGTTATGGCCTTTAATTCCAACTTTACCTGTCCACTAAATCCATAACCCGTCACACACTCCATCCTTACAAACTGCATCTCCAAAATAAAATCCTGGCTCCAATCAAACTTCCTCCAACTCAACAGTGACAGAGCAGAAATAATCATCATTGGCATCAAAATATTCACCAAAATCCAAAATAACCTCACCCTCTCCATTGACGGCTCCTCAATCCCCTCCTCCTCCCACCTCTGAAACCGTGACATCTTTGACCAAACCTCCTCCTATGAACACCACATCAAACACATCACCGAAACCACCTTTTATCACCTTCCCTTCGAAACACCACTCTCCTCCGCCCATCCCACTCCCCTCAGTCTGCTGAAACTCTCATCCACGCCTTTGTCACCTCCCGCCTCGACTACTGCAATAGCTGCTCTACAGTTCACCCTCCAAACTCCTCAATAGACTCCAACACATCCAGAAATCTGCCGCCTTCCTCCTCACCCGCACATCCTCCCATGAACACATCACTCCTGTCCTCAGAGACCTCCACTCACCTGTTCCAAATTGCCTTTAAATGACTGCATCTCTGGTTGATGTGTTTTCATTCATTTGTGTTTGTGTCATGAAATGTGCTACACAAGTGTTTAATTGTATTTTTGTTTGCTCAACCTATGAAGTATAAAACAACCCCCTCAGGCTTTTCTCAAACTATAAGAAAAATACTAGAAGTTTTCAGTCTTGTTCAAAAAAGTACAGAGATCTAAAATGTATACTTAAGCACAGTACTTTACTACTTCTGCTTTGTTCCATTCCACCACTGACTTCCAGTGTGATATCATATTTTATTCCTTATCTGTGTAAAAACACATTTTTCATTAATGACAATACAAATGGACATTGAGTCATTAAAGTCCCATTGTTTACATCAGTGTGACTTGTGATTGATGTACTGTTCATTATTTTTTAACATAGTTGTTCTTGTTTGCTCACATATTTACAGTATGAGTATGGGAAATTGATTTTGTGCCTAATCTTATACAATCTTTATCTTAAAGAGCCCATACATTTTCTGATCTACTTCATGTTTATGTTATGTTTATGTTGTTTCCTCATCAGAAACATACCTTGAGCTGTTTTGTTTCCTTCACACGTGTTTACCACAACAACATATATGCACACAGAGCCTTTTGAGCTTTGAAGATGTAGACAAACTAATAGTAAAAGGTTACACATGTGTGAATGAAACAAAACACAACTCTGAATATGTTTGAATGGCTTAATGTTCACAGGAATTCATTTTGTTTAATCAATATAGGACCTTACACAAAAACTGACAATAAAAAGACTTTAAAAAGGTATGAATGGAAAGGTTAATCCTTAGAGTCACACTATTGGCATGTGCATAAAAAAGTGTATTGTTGATAAAGCAGTCTTTGTCAAAATGGCGTCAGAGCAGGAGAGTGCCCAGCCTTCCAGTGGGTCTCACATGCTCTCACAGCCCGGAGGTTGGAGACTGGAGGTGGGGTGATGGTGAGATTTTGAATCAAGTAACTTTTATGATGAACTTTTAAGAAAAAAGTCATATTTAAGTAGTCAGTCAAATTATTCTCTTGTGTTCAATATGGAACCAGAATATGAAGAGATAATAGATTTACATTTGGTTCATTGTAAATGTTTAAAACAGATCCATTAACTTATTGTTCAAAATTGCAGATGTTTGAAAAGGGATTAGTAGTAATTCATCACAGCAATCAATCTTTCTTTTATGCCCGTTTATATATATATATATATATGGTTTGTTTTGTGAAGGAGAATAATGGTGTGCATGACCGGATCAGGCTGGCTGCTGCTGAGCCTCGTCCTCGGTTGGAAATATGATGTTATGTGATGGGGTCACGCGGGACTGAGAATCCTGGGAGTCATGCGCTAATCCGCTATAAAATGCCCTGCTTGGGGGGATACAGCGCAAAACGAAGTCCCCATTCTGTTTGGGATGCCTGTTAATTAACAATTTGGTGAAAGTTAATTGTGCGTAATTTCTCGCGTATTTGGATCATGCTGACCTTGTTTCTTTTGGGGAGCTCGTTGCTTCTGGTGAGTGCGCAGTTCCCCAGAGAATGCGTCACACCGGAGGGACTGAGGAGCGGTCAGTGCTGTCCCACACCTCCAGGACTGGAGAATGACCCGTGTGGTGCCAGTGCAGGCCGAGGACAGTGCGTCTCTATAGCGGCTGATGCGCGACCACACGGCCCGCAGTATCCACACGATGGACGCGACGATAGAGAGAGATGGCCCGTGCGCTTTTTCAACAGGACGTGTCAGTGTAACGGGAACTTCAGCGGCTTCAACTGCGGGAGATGCAGACATGGATTCACAGGAGCCAACTGTGACGAGCGGGTGTCTGTTGGTAAGCATAGATACGTCTGTGGTGCAAATTTGCCGCGTTACCTGCGTAATCACGCGTTGACAAGCCTGTTAGCGCGTTCATGCGTAAAGATTGGATGAAAGTTTTTTTTTTTTTTTTTTTTTTTAAGGCATTTTCCACAAAACCAAAAATGAGACAAGTCATATAAAATGTTCTTGACAAGTTTAGCTTTGTGTAGTCCTCAAACATCCGAACATTTTTATGTTACGTGATTGATTGATTGATTTTTAATTAATAGACTTCTGACCTCTGTTATTTTTATAGACTACTGCTGAATTTCAACTGGTCTTTCAAGTCAATTTGCTTATTTATTTGACATATGTCAAACTTTATGGCTATATTATGCCTCACTGTGGTATAATCTTGTAATCCCCAGTAAGAAGAAACGTGATGCAGCTCAGTGCAGATGAGAAACGTGCGTTTTGTGAGCGCCTTGGACCAGGCAAAACGCACGGTGCACCCGGACTTGGTTATTGCCACGCGGCGCTACGAGGAGGTTTTTGGGCCCGATGGAAACACCACGCAGTTTGAGAATATCACAATATACAACTACTTTGTGTGGACCCACTACTACTCAGTCAGCAAAACGTTTCTGGGCGCGGGACAGGCCAGTTTTGGAGGAGTGGACTTTTCCCACGAGGGACCTGGGTTTCTGACGTGGCATAGGTTCCACCTTCTTCAGTTGGAGCGGGATATGCAGGTGACCAACGTTTCCCAACACTGTAGGGGTAAATGAAAATATCATGGACTAATTGGTTTAAATGATGTAATTGGTTAAGGCGTGTGCGTAAGTTTGATCGAAGCTTGAGACGAGCCCAGGAGCCAAGTCTTATGTCAATCATCAATGCACGTAACACGTTGTGAACGAGTAAAGCAACACAATTAGAAACGCCTTTTACGCACATTGATTAAATTTGAAGTTTTGTTAATAATTTGAAGCAGTGTAGCAGTTTAACTACAACTTTCTGACACCTCAAACTTTTAAAAATGTCTTTGTGAGAGTTGACGTTCTCAGTTTTTTGCTTTATAAAGACCAAGTCTAAAGAGCACCAGGGTGAAACGTATTTGAAAACACGTATGCAGCTTTCTTGTAGAATTTAGCTTTTTATGAACAATTATATCTAAGTGACTAATTACTTTCTTACCAATCCAATATTTCCTCGTCACCAGGACATGCTGCAGGACCCCTCCTTTGCCCTGCCCTACTGGAACTTCGCCATCGGGGGCAACACATGTGACATTTGCTCTGATGACCTGATGGGGGCCCGCAGCAGTTTTGATGCGAACGCTCTGAGCACAAACTCTGTGTTTTCTTCTTGGAGGGTGATTTGTGAGAGCGTGGAGGACTATGACACTCTGGGAACCATCTGTAACAGTAAGTCTATTGTTCTGACTTTTTCATTTTACATTTTTCTTTTAATCACAAGATAAAAAACACAATTACACAGAACATTGTATTTTCTAAGAATGAAAACAGAGGAATTGTCTTTACAATGCTCTTGTTATAAATCAGCTCAACAATACCCATTTTCCAATTACAAAACATAAAACCTATATTCTGTACTTCTGCTCAGCCACAATTTGAATAGTTCTGATTACGCCAAAACACCTATGGATATTGGATCTAAACAGTATTCTGTGTGATAATGAATACATTTAGTACAGAAACTTAACCAAAAAATCCTTGCGACACAGGTTCTCAGACTTTTCATAGGATAATATTTTGGCTTTCTGAGTACCACCAGATCTAAACCCAAACCATATCAGGCATAAATTAAGGCTGAACATTTAATACGACTGAACCAAGACTGAAACATTCATATATCTGTCTTTCAATAAAACAAATAAGACCCCATGTACCCACAGACACAGCTCGATCACAGTACCGCTGTTTCAGACATCATTTCTTTAAGTCCTTCTAGCGTGACTAATGTTAATGAATGTTACTTTTCTGTTCAGGCACAGAGTCGTCTCCGATCAGGAGGAACCCAGCGGGGAATGTGAACCGTCCCATGGTGCAGCGCCTCCCAGAGCCCCAGGATGTGGAGGCATGTCTCCAGGTCAACACTTTCGACACGCCCCCGTACTACTCCACTTCTGATGAGAGCTTCAGGAACTCTATTGAAGGTACACTTATACTTTTACTGCAAATATCTGCCTTCTTCTCTCCATATTATGCTATTTTCTGATCTATTTTATAATGTTTTTGATTAGGTCAGTCAACATTTGCAACTAAAACCTTGCATTTTGAACTTTAATAGCATTGTCTACAGTTTCTAGTCCTTTTGTGGATGATTTCCAATAATCTCTGCTATTTCAAGAGCTTGTGATATCACACTGTACCACTTTTAACTTGCTGCAGGGGCAGAGTTTGAATTGTGGATACCTTTTAGACCAATCACAGTGTTCTTATACCTCCAGACCCTGCCCCTTCTCTCCCCTCTCCTCTCTTAAAAATGTGATTGTAGGTGTCCAGTGCCAGTTTAAGCCCACATTTACAAGAATTGTATGTTGTGTGTTTTCACAGGCTACAGCGCCCCCCAAGGCAACTACGACCCTGTGGTAAGGAGCCTTCACAACCTGGCTCATCTGTTCTTGAATGGGACAGGGGGGCAGACCCACCTCTCGCCCAATGACCCCATCTTTGTCCTGCTGCACACCTTCACAGACGCCATCTTTGACGAGTGGTTGAGGAGACACAGTCCAGGTGTGCTTCTATAATACAAGTATTGCACTCCTAGCTAATTGACTACAGTTAGATGCAGGCTCAAAATCTATTATTATCAGATTTTGGAGTTATAAGAGTATTAAAAAGTGCATGTAAATAGCAAAATCTGAATTCTATTAACAGTAATCAGATTTTTTTTTCCAATCATGGTCCCTCCAATGAGATTCTGTGGTTCATTCAATACTCATAAAGCTACAGAAAACAGAATATAATAATAATATTTTGGTGTAATGTTATTATAACCACTGTTTGTGTGTCTTATTAGATTCCACTGTGTATCCAGAGGAGAATGCGCCCATTGGCCACAACAGAGGCTACAACATGGTGCCCTTCTGGCCTCCTGTGACCAATGCAGAGATGTTTGTCACTGCTCCTGAGAATCTGGGCTACAGTTATGAAGCTGAATGGCCAGGTAAATAGAAAAAATGAAAAAAAACAACAACAACAGTGGTTAATTTTGTATTTATTTTATTTGTCCAGCTCAACCGTTTACAATGACTGAAATCATCACCATGACCATTGTCGCCGCCCTGGTGCTGGTTGCTGTCGTCTTCGCTGCCAGTACATGTGCTGTCCGTGCCAGGTCCAAGAGGGAAGGCCACCAGCCTCTGCTTGGAGATCAGTACCAGAGATATGACGATGACAAAAGCCAATCTGTTGTTTAAAGCTGCTTTTTAATTATCATCTTTGCCTTTCCTTAAAAAAATGCATATGCAATCTGTGCAGATTTTACTACAAACCTATTAAAACATGTTGTAACACGTCAAAATCCGTATTTATACTGTTGTAATATAGTTATTATATATGTTTTGATTGTGATGGAAAATGATGCAATTTGAAAGTAAAATTTGCAGGAAGCGGTCACCAGGTGGTGCTAATGTTACATTCTGGCCAGGCCTTTATATTGTGTGAGTTTAGTGAGTAGATGTGTAAGCCTGTTTGAGATTTTATATATCACAGAGATTTGATTGTGTGAAATGCAGCATTAGGAAGTTGCTACAAGTGGAAATAACAATGTGACAGAGCCTTGAACACCCTCTTGGGGGCGCACTAATCCAATCTTTGAAGCTGGGTACAGCATCATGGAGACATACTGGGTACCCACTTCAGATTCTTGCCTTTTATTTAATAGTTTAAACGTTTTTGAACAAAACGAAGAAATGCGTATACAATGTTTTGAACTGTATATTTGTTTGATGCTACTTTTTAAACTATGCCTTTATTGTCTTGATTCTTTTGGAAAAGCTCGCTCAAATGCTATGTACTTTTACAAGCTAGTTTAACAGGAATATTGTGTTATTAAATGTTTTGCTATTAAAACAAGTCTCGTGTGTGGTGTCTGTGGACGCAGCGCACAGAAGCGCCGTGCTGTGCCGGCTGCTTGTGCGTCAGGTGTCTGGTTTCCAGGGGACGTTGCCTGTGGGCGTGGCCTGGAGGGAGCGCGTGGTGTTAAACAGTAGAGCTACTGGTCAAAAGCTCCAGTGGGAGGTCTGGGATGAGGTAATGCGAAATGGTTAAGTGTTTTGACTCGCAGTTACGCATTGTTCTGACAGATACTTGAATGAAAAGGTTAAGAACGCGCAGTTTCCTCTGACTGAGCGCTACTTCTGCTACTGACTTAGTGCAATCAACAAGTGTCCTAACTACTAACCTGCTTGGAACATCTACTCGACCTAGACCACTGTGCGTAAAGCCATGGACGAAGACAGCAACGTTTTGCCGGAGTTGAGGGATTTGGAGACCAAGTTAGGAAGAAAAGTGCCGGATAGCCTTGTGCGTTCTCTTGTTGGAGGAAAACACCACGAAAAGCACGAGAAGTCACAGCGTTCAGCCAAGTTCTGTGCCAAATCTGCGGACTTTAAACGCCTGGAAAGCAAGATACTACTTTTAAAACAAGAAATGGTGGGTAATTTATTGAAATTTTGAAATTTTACTTGGAGAATAATAGTAAATAGTGCACGATTCGTATGCGCGTATTTGTAGATGCAGTTGGGACGTTCTTGCAGAATTAATTAGCAAGTTGTAACACGTTTAACCACACAGGAAATGTATCCTTTCTCTTTGTGTAAAAAGGCCGAGTACACGTTTATGGGGAGTTGTTAAAAGCAGAAATAGTGTCGGTTGACGTCTGCGTGAGCCATGAAACTGGTAGGTGACAACCATTCACACCTGCTCTCGTAAGAGAAGAGACAGAATTTACCTCCATCTACACCACCAGGAGCATGCATCCTCTCTTAGTCATTCAAACTACACTGTGAAATCCAATTGTCTCGTGTTAATTACCATCACGCGACTAATACGCATTGCGCCTTTTGGCACTAGGGTCTGAGGCACTGAATGACCTTAAGGTAAAGTGCTTATTTTTAGCTCTGGCGAGGTATTAAGATGACTGAGCAGATGGCAAAGTTGACCGAGTTTCTCAAGCACCATTATCCCTTTTTTCTGGTCACTAAGTTCAAAGGTGGCTGGGCATTTCAAGTTACAACTCATTGCGTGTCTATAAACAAGATTAGTAGTAAAACAAACCATCATTCTGAATAATAAATGATCTATTAAACTAAACTAAACCTGGACTAGACCAAGATTACACCAGAATTAGGGTTTACATCAAGACTACATTGGATTCAAGTCAGAATAACCAAATCATAAGAAGTGTGAACCAGCCCTAACTGAGAATTTCCCCTCACCCAGAGAGTTTGAAATTACATATCTTTTGGTATTTGCATCCCCATTTACCACAATTTCACCTTTATAATATTAATACTTATGCCTTCATTTGAATTTTTAGTCTATCAATACCAAGAAATAAAGATAACGTTGTTATTGACAGGAAAGCAGGTTTAGATGTTCAAATTACATTATAGTGTGTGTTGGTGAAATGCCTTGCCTATAGCCATCATATCCTCAGCACACAATGACAAAGTTAACCCAACAAAACGCTGCAGCAGTCGTGTTTACTTAACCAAATTTAGTGTCCGTGAGTCATCGGTGCCATTTCAACACAATAAAATAACCAAATTACTATTTTTCTGCTATACATCCATCAGTTTCCATGTGTGTGTAAAGCAGAGAGTCCAAAATAAACATATTATCAAGTAAGTCTGTCACGATAATTGTCTTTTTGTTTGATACATAACAGATGGAACAAAACGTTTTGGAGGGTCAGTATTTGCCATGGTTACTTTTCCTTTGTACTAGTGGGAAGTTTGTGGTTAATTTTCTTTTCTACGATGAGATTTGAGTTGTATAAGTGGAATTATGAACTTCTGTGACTCATTATAGACACAAAACTACTTAGATGTTCCATGCTATTATTTATTTATTGGAATTCTTTTGTGCATTTAGAATTCTTTTCACAGGGATCATTCTGCTTCATGGTTTGGTTACAGTATTATCATTTATGTCTGTATTTACTTCAACATTTGTTATCCTGACAGGCCTATTATCGAGTCTAAAAAGAAAAGTCAGTTTAGCTAATGCAGCTGTCCGCCACAACACACAGCACATTTTAATGCAATTTGACTACGACAGGTTCCGGCAGCTGTTCGTTTGGTCATTTTTCATCCTGACTAAGCATTTGTCAGCCGCCTGGACATCGGGGAATCCCTTTCATGGTCTCCAAGCCGGTCATTTCCTCCTCCTAAATGCAACAGTTGTCATGAGTCAATGCCCGTACTGTGTAGATAGTCCACAAATCATTCAAAATCCTGGACGCATGCTTCCTGACTGCTCTATTACTGGGATAATACAAGTTCCTGTTTCCTTTGTTCATGCTGGGAGAAGTAGTCCATTGTGCGGTAGCCATGAGAGAAGAATGCTAACATTTGTTGAGCTGTCATTTGCATTTTCGGTTGCGTGTAGTTGCATATTTCATCCTTGAATGAATGGATACATTTACGTAGTTATGATGCAGTACACAAATCTACAGCAAATCTTTTGACTGTGATAAATGTTCGTTTTACTTGACGTTTCATTTTTCATGTTCATTTTTATAGTAATAGTAGTAGTAGTAGTCATAGAAGTGGAAAAGCAATTTTACACTTTATAAAGGCTATCATAAGTGTAGTTAGTATAAAGTATGAAGTATGAGTTTATTAAGAATTATTGTAGTTACTGAGCCTGAACCATTCTTAAATAATGTCATTATGAATTAAGTTTTTCTTAAGGTTAAATAGGTAGCAGTAGTTATTGTAAAGTGGTGCCGTAGCAATACTGATAGGACAAGTAGTATTAATAATAATCAGGGGTGTAGTGAGTGTGGTACGCAGGGGTAGGGAGTACGTCATCCACCCACTTCCCCCGACGTGAGATATAAAAAAATAACAAATATAAAATAGCTACAACTTAAATGTCAGACCAGAGCTATTGGCAATGGTGAAAACAACCTGCATAAGCTCATGATGTCTGCAGGACTGTCCTATAGAGACGTGAGACATGAGAGGACCAGGACTGAACCAGGACTAAACCAGGACTAAAATAGGTCTAAACTTTATCTAAACCAGGACTAAACACAGAACAAAACCAGGACTGAGTGTGGGGAGGGGTCCAGAGGTGCGCTCGTGTAGACTGTCGGATGACCGCAGGCGAAAGGACCAATGCAGAGCTCCACGCCCCACGGGGCTAAGTGCAGACGTCGCCCAATTGTGCTTTGCAGACACCCTGGGCTGGCTCCACAGGCTCAGGGTTGCCTCTTTCAAGTCCAAGATTAGTCCTGGTTTAGTCCTGGTTTAGATCTGGTTCAGACCTGGTTCAGACCTGGTTTAATCCTGGTTCAGTCCTAGTTTAGACCTGGTTTAGACCTGGTTCAGTCCTAGTTTAGACCTGGTTTAGACCCGGTTCAGTCCTTGTTCATTCCTGGTTTAGTCCTGGTTCAGTTATGAATCTCGTAGTCCTACTTAAAAAATCCCCACTACACCACTGACAATAATAGTAGTTAGAGTTGTCAAAAGTATCGAAATCAGACACTAATCGATACTACAACTAGTATCAAAACTAGATACTCACTTGAGCAGGTATCGATACTAAAAAAGTCACATTCAAAGGACAGAAATGAAGTGAGCTGTGTCAAAAGTATGAAACCACATAAATTAGTATACGCCCATGGACCACTATGGAACCTACATTTACGACTGAGGTATGACACAGATATAAAGCCACATGAAAGTACTATGATTTAATGCTGAAAATTACATTCTAAATAAAGAGTGGTATCATTGTGGCATCCAAATCTGTATTGAGTATTGAGTCTATTCCTTAATATTGAAATTAAAATGTACTTAGTCTTGAAATTTTAGTATCATGACAACACTAGTAGCAGTAGTAGTAAAGCATGAAGTCCAAAAATGTGCTGTTTTGTTTGATCATTTTTAACTAACCTTTTGAACATACTTAACAGTCTGTACATACCTGCCACTGTTTACAGAAAGTCAACTCATTTCTTCTCTACATTCCAGGCAAACTTGAGAGCCATTGACGTCAAGGTGATGCAGCAGCTCATGACCGTCAACGAGGGCATCGAGTCTATCCGCTGGATGATGGAGGACAAGGGGGGCACGGCCAGTCAAGATGGCAGTCTGTCTGGGAGCTTATACAGCCTCTCCGACAGTCAGGACGGTAGCTCATTCAGGGGGAGCATGAACAGTTTAAATGACGCTAACAGTGACGATTTGGACGGGCTCTCGGTGGGCTCGTACCTGGACACTTTGGAGGATATCCCCGACGACCCTTCGCCCACGGACCTCACCTCATACATGGAGAAAAGTGTGATCAATGGAGACGCGTTCAGCAAATCGCCGATAAAGCTCAGGGTGGAGGCGGATGAGTACTACTGTTTTGGATAGTGAACACCCAAAATGGACGGTTTTAAGTGTGTTTTGTGTCACAGTTTTCAAGATTTTGTCAGATTTTGTCGGATTTACAGTAGGGCTGTACAATATTGGAAAAACAATACATATGCAAAACACACGCAGCTACTTTCTTGACAAACAAATGGGTTTAAAGGGATGTTAGTCCTCTTAGTTTTAAGAAGAGGTCACTAGACAAGAGAAGTGCAGTTCTTTCTGAATAATGAATAAACGATAAAAGTGGATTTTTTAAGTTTAATATATACAATAATTGCATGCATTTTAGAACTCAAAATATGCCTTTTTAGTGTTCATACTTCAGGAAAAAAGATAATTTAATTTTCCCAAAATCATTGAAAGGGCCTTCATTACACTATTACAGATTTTTTATTTTATTTTTTACTTTTTTTTATTTTATTTACACGTTTTAACACACAAACCCTGCATATTTAGGTGCTAGATCTTCTCTCAAACAGGAAACACGCTGTTCCTCCTTGCGATGTCGTAATATAAGAAGTGCTCCACTGTGTTTTTAAACTCCATACACCTTCACTAGAATCATTCATATGATTTCAGTCCTGGAAACGCCAGTAGCTGTTAACTTGGAAACTACCACTTGATGAGATTGCAAGGTGGAACTGAGCATTTTGAGCTTTAGAAATGTTGACAGGTTCATTGTGTGAATGAAAACAAAACACTACTCTGGGGATATTTTTGATAATACAGCTTAAAGCTCACAAGAAACCATTTTGTGCAATATAGGACATTTAAAAGTATGTACTGTGCAGCCCTACTTGAAACTACTATTTGAAAACACAATCCTTACTCCCACATCACTTACTATTATTTCTTGTTACACCAGTAGAAAAATGTCTTAATGTTTTTTCATGCGAATAACAAAACCAAAATGGTACTTTTTAAGCATTGTATTTATTTTTGAAGTAACTGCCTGGACATTGTTGAGCTGCTTAGAAGCCTCAGCACAGTGGAAAATTCAGTCTGAACTTTACCACAGAGGTTGAACCACAATGGGCCGATCTAAGGGAGTAGACTATCAACCATTCGGAAAAGTAGACATTTTCTGTACTGAGTGATTTAAGGTTACACTGTTTGAAGTGGCCAAGTGGTGGTTTTTAGTGTTACAGCAAGTGCAATTTCCCATATGCCAAATTTTGCTACTGCTACCAGCTACTGTACAGTGCGTTTGTCATTATTTTTATTGACTGAAGCTAAGCCGTCTTTAGCTATAGTCTTAATTCAAGAGATTAGCTACACATTGGCACGCACAGATGCTTGACTGAATTCATTTGATGGTCTTAAGGATAAATAATATAAAGCAGGTTGTTGGCTGTGGACAGATGGACACGTATGCAAGTGGGCATATTAAAGCTAAACACTACTGTCAACGCCTTTAAAATAATGACTTTTTGATGATTGTTTGTATGACTGTTTTGTGAAATTTTGTGAAAATGAAAATAATATATGGAAATTATACATCTTTTGTCGTTTTTTTAAAGATACCGTTTTACACGCATCAATTTTATAGACTTAAAGGTGCACTGTGTAACTTCTGCTGATTGGTTGGAGATGTTATTTGCCTGGAATGTTCGACATTCTTGGATTTGTTCAATTATAGGTGTTTTATAGCTCAGAAATACCTTAAAAAACATGGATTCTTACCAAGTACAGGCTTGCTTCTCCATAGATTTGAACTTGTCTCTGTTGTGATCACCAAGTTTATTTCTATACTGTGGAATAATCAGGGCAAAACAGGAATATCTTCATGGAGACAAGCAGGTGGTGGACTCTCCAAAAGTTACACAGCGCATCTTTAAGCATTATTCCATCATAGTTGCAAAGCAGATTTGATACACACACAAAATGTTAAACTTTTATGCTATATTTTTTCCCCATTTAATTATTTAAGGTTGATCCAAAGCAAATAATGTGGATTTTAAGATGAATAATTTAAACCAGGGATCGCCAACCTTTTTGATCCAGTGAGCTACATTTACAAAACAAAAATACCACAGAGCAACTCATGTTAGCAAGAAATTGAGTATATAAAGGAGCCACAACCTTAAGTGTTGTACAGTTAGATGCGTATAAAACATAAACAATTTATTACTGCACAAAGTTGGGCATAAAAATTATACATTTAATTAACCAAAATGTTTTTTTTTTTCAGCACAATGCATATAATTCAGAAATCTCTTGGCGAGCTACTTACAATAGGTTGGAGAGCTACTGGCTGCTCCCGAGCTACAGGTTGGAGACCCCTGATTTAAAATATTTTAAGTAAGTAAGTAAATAGACTCACTTGTTCTATTATCAGTGTTTCTCAAACTTTTTTTCTGGGGACCCATATGTAGCACTTATACAATGCCACAATAGAGGATTAGTACAGATATGAAGTATAGTAGTGGTAGTAGCAACAGGCTAGATCAGAAGGCCAGGGTTTGGCTCGGAGGAAAGTGAGTATAAGGTAGACAGGGCCAGGGACAGAAAAATACCTGGGTTACACATATTTTAAAAGTCACAAACCTTCACGACTTAATGTTATTCGTAAATCACAAAATAAAGGTGGATTTGACCGTTATTGAACATTAATGAGGATATTTTATTGTTGACTCAGTGATCGTGTCTCTCTTAACAGTTAGTCTAGTTTTAAACAACGAAAGACAGTCATTGAACCAGCAATAAAAGGATCCATAAGTTGCTTATTTGGACCTTAAATATAGCCCATTTCTTTTTCTTTTCAACATTCAACTGAACCAGCAATATTGGAACAAAATAGTACAAAAAAAAATTACAAAAAGATTAGAAATTATACTAAATGTGTCTTAACATTTTAATATGTGTCAGAACTGTATATTGCAGACCTACATGCAGATCATGACAAGGTGACCCAAAAAAAATCTCTTGCGACCCACCTGAGGCCACACAGTCTTTCTATGGTATAAACAAGTAGCTCTGTTTTTGTTTTGGTTCTCCCCACCACAGTCACATACCACCATTCACAAGGATCATACAGACAGATTGACTACTGTTTATTTTGGCACAAACAAAACTTTTCAAATTGAATGTCTGGAATCGCTAATAATAGCCAGTAAATGAAAGATTACAGAGGAAGTACCATCATGGTCTTGTGGTATTTATGTAACAGTAGTCGTCTTATCTTTCCCGTGTAATTGTAGTTCCAGACTGGGTTTTCCGGAAATGTCTTTATGGGAAAGATGAAACTGATGGCCACAGGGTACTGTATTGTCGTTACTTAGACATACAATAATGTTTGAAAATTAGTCGCAAAATTAAATGCATTTTAGTAACAACTGTTAACTTCTAATACCACTGGATGTAGATTTCGACAAACTTTATTGATCGACAAGGGAAATTATTTGGGCATAGTAGCTCCCACGTCAAAATATAATATAATAAAGAGCAAAAATATAAATGTAGTAATAATTAAAACATAAGAAGCAAAAATAGCAAAAGGTGTGAAATAAGGCACAAGTTTCTTTGCAGTATTCTTGCAGTAGGTGGTATTAACAGTAGCAAAATGTAAAAAAAAGTCTAAAGATGACATCGTAAATTAATCTGTGTATTCAAGAAAGTGTGGACTCTTTCTATAACCAACATGGGTTTGTATGTCACTTTGGCATATTTTGATTTTGGTTAATTCATTTCGGTTCAGTTAATGAATTCAGACCAAGCTGTCGGTCAGATATATGTAGAGGTGATGCTGTTTGCAGTAAAAAGAGGCATTTCTGAGCCTCATAGATAGATAAGTTTAACGGGGGTCCACATGTTAATCACTAAGTGGCAATTGGTATGCTTTAGCTCAGGGGTCTCCAACTTGTAGCTCGGGAGTTACTTTTAGCTCTCCACCCCCTTCCAAGTAGCTCGCCGAAGGATTTCTGAATTACACGTACAAATTGTGCTCAATAAGTAGAATTGGATGTAAATGCCTTTTACCAATGTACATGTATCATTTTGATGCCTGACTTTGCACACTAATAAATGGATAATGGTTTATGTTTTATAGGCATCTAACGGTACCTCATCTAAGGCTCGCCGTGGCTCTTAAACTGTATATGCTCAATTTCTTGTGACTGCTAAAACTAGGAGCTCTCTGGCCTATTTGTTTTGTAAAAGTAGCTCACCGGAGGAAAAAGGCTGGAGATTTTGGAGACCCTGCTTGGATATTGGAGACGTTGGAGACCCTGCTTTAGCTGTTACTTCGCTATTAGATTTCAGATTATGTAAAAAATAAATAAATAAATAACTCCATTGTAATCTCCACTACTTTAATGGGGGGAAAAATAGTTGAGGCTTAATACTTGCAAAATATGGCCTTAGACAAAAATACATTGAAAGTATAAATACTAACAAAGATGCAATTAAGCATTTATTAGGCATTTTATCGAGCTATTAATATGTGGTCCCTAAACTAAAGCATTACCATTTAAAGCTATACTGTGGAACATTACCAGCAAAGCAATAACATCTACAGTTAAAATACAGCCTTTACAATCCCTACTATAACACTTGAATTATCACTGGACACATTAAAACCACTAAACCCAGTGACATTAAGAGTGTATGCGACTTTGGCCCAGTCCAAGTGCAAATCAGCTTTATTTGGTTTCCACTGCTGTTCCTTATCTCTACCCCCACAGGCTTTAGGCGACTTAAGCCCCTGTCAGGCTACACCAGACAAAAGCCAATAAAACTAATGAAAGGCAAGTACCACTATGTCAGCACTTCATGTTTAACTGTCTGGACTACACGGTATGAATATGCATGGGCAGTCATGGCAGTGGTACTAGTAGAAGTAGTTGTAGTTAGTAGTTAGTTGTAGACTTAGATAAAGTTTATTGATCCACAAGGGAAATGATTTGGGCACAGAAGCTCACACACAACATAATATAATAACAAAGAGTAAAAATATAAATGGTAATAATACATTTTAAATAAATTGCAAAAATGACAGCAAGAGACAGGGGTGAAATAATAATATAAATGTAAATGTGCAACTCAAAATATGATAGAAAATAAGTAATAAAATATAATATCTCAGCTATAAACAAGAAGACATATAGGACATAAGGTTGTCCATTACATTTGAGTGACTTTTTGTGTAGTTGTAGGGAGTATTATCTGTTACATAAAGGTGAGTTGTTGTAAATAAAGGTGAGTGGTTTTAGTCATCCATCATCGTTGTAGTTGTGGTAGTAGTTATAGTAGTAGTTGTAGTCATAGAAGTTGTAGTCCTAGTAGTCGTAGTAGTCATGTATTTGATATTGGGGGTACAGTGGGGTAGCCAGGCTGGCACCACCTAGTGCCTCCTCTTAATTTAATTTCTCTTCAGCGACTAGGTCAGGAATCGGAATACACTAGATGGTTTGCAAGAACCCCGGAAGTTGTAGGCCGTGCACCGGCCAATCAGCGAAGAGCTGTGAAGCCATGACTGGGTCCCCGAGATCGAGGATTTAAAGCCAGAACAAAGAGAATGTTTGGTGACTTTTATCAAAGGGAAAGACGTTATTGCCCTTCTTCCAGAGTGATTTCTGAAAAGCTTAATATATGAGTTAGCCCTGTTAGCGGTGCATTACATATGTCATGACCAAATAGCAGTGATTGGTTAAATAAATATCCACCTACCATCGAGCGAACGAATCCTAATGCTAAGTCAAAGATGTTTGTTTTGTCTTCTTATGTACTTTAACATCATGGGTTCTTTTTAAAAACAACACAGTAAAGTGTATTTACCTTATTGACATGTTTCAGCTGCTAGCTGCAAGCCAACCAAGAAGAACCCAAGAAAAACCCAAGAAGTTAAAGAATCCTGATGCTGCGAGGTCAGACGATTTCCACGAAGTGAAACCAGATGATAAACCAGGTTAACAGTGGGTAGCAGTAGAAGAAATAATAATAGTAGTCAGATTAGCCATTTAATTCCCAATACAATCTTGTTTCTCAAGCACTGCAGCTTTAAGGCCCAATAGATAAATAGAATAGAATCAATAGAAAATGATTCAAATGTGAAACAGAAGCACAATAATACAGATTTAAAAAATAAAATAAAGGTACCAATAGACACATCTCAAATCATTATCTGATTATTTTGTAGTGAGTGCATTGATCTGTGGCCCTATTTTGCTCACCTCTGGTGAAAGTACACGTCTCAACAACAGCCTGCATGTCAAGACTTACCCAGGCATGATGTTTCTTTAAGGTGAAAATGTTAAGTCTGTAGTTGGGCTGCTGGTGGCCGAGGTAATTGGACACACTGAACAGGTTTTGTGAGCGGATGGCGTAATGAGTGAAAATTCCAGAGACTTACATGGTACACTACGCTTGAACAGAGGTTGCCTTTGCCTTATAAGTATACATTTCAACATGAAAGAGAGGCTGAGTTGATACTGGCTTTGTGCCCAAGACAAGTGGTGTTTTGCACTGCCTACCCCCATGTGGGAC